TTTTTCTTAGATTTATAAGTGTCTTAACAACAGTTTGTTGATGCATCGTTCCAAAAACACGATGAAGTTGTATTTATAGCAGTTTTATTTTGATTATTCTGATCATTCTCATTATTTTGATCATTTTGATAATTTTGATCATTACGATCATTTTCATCATTTTGATCATTTTGAATATTTTTATCATTTTAATTTTGTGTATTATTACATATTTCTCTTCTTGTTTTAGAAAGATCTACATAAATTTGAGTTCCATCAAAAATAAAGATTAAAGTATCCGAAGAAAAATTTATATCTCTCTTCGGAAATTTTAACTGTTTTCTATCTAAGTAAAAAAAAAATGTTGAAAGATATATTTACTCACTTATGTTACTTATGTCACTTATGATATATTTACTACTCAAAAATGTTAGCGCGCTTTTTTGTCATTTTATCCTTGTTTTACGTCTATTGAACGATAAAGATAGACCAATGAAAAAGTGCGCTAACATTTCTATAAGCGTGCTCTGAGAGAATATAGGCCATAATTTAAGGATATCAATTTATATGCCAAGATGTTTTATCTAATTAGGCCACTCAAAATAATTTGTTAATTTTTAAAGATATAAAAACAGAAGAGAACTGAGTTAAATTTGACATTCTGTACATTATTATATAGCATAGTTATATAAATAATTCGTTAAAAATATTTATAATACCTTCAATTACGCATCCATTTGAATCCAGTTTTATTTTTCCAAAAATGTCCAGCTGTAAAAAGCCACGTAATTGCATAATATCTGCTGCCATTTTAATATTATTTTTTATAAATATATAATAATTCTGAAAACAAATATTATAAAAAGTTACGTATTAAAGAATATGTATACACTTGTTTGTTAAACAACTAGTTTGGATTCCACGATGGAGTAAAAAATTCACACGAAAAAAACACTCACTGAATTGCACGCAAGTCAATAATTTATTATACACTTAATACAGTTCACAAGAAAAAAACGTAATATACACGGATCGAATTAATTACATTATTTAAATTTGCAAACACGAAGCGATCGCGACGAATGATTTTGCGCAAGCACCGATAATTCTTTACGAGGCAAGCAATCTCGTAAAACACTGCGATTTAATACCTTTGAAAGCAAGCAACTACAAATTTTGATTAACGCCGATATTGATTCTGCTTTATTGCTAAGCTTAGACAGACGCTGCGGATTGTCTCGGCCCTCTTTTTATACCGCAAAAGTTCTAGATTGTTCCTTTCTCAACGACTCTGGAACTTACGTCAAGAAAAAAAATAATCTAGAATTATAATTTTCGTTAAATTAAATAATTGTTTATAAGTCAAAAAAACAATAGCTGCTGTCAAGCGCTAATTGGCTTCCTGACTTCGATCTGCCGCCGCGATTCGATTCTGGCAGTGCCAGAGCACGTGTACTCGCGTGTAAATTGGCGCACGTAAATTTTGCTCTTTTCAGTCTTTGCACTTTTTACTTCTTCTCAAGACTAAGTACAAAAAGTGTTGTCAGAAATATAACTGCACTGGTAAAACGAACAGTGGTTGTTACATCATGTCCGGTAATAAAAACAAGTTAGTGTACACTTAGTGTAAAAGTAAAAAAAGTGCATGCAACATGAACAAACCTAATGAATTCAGATTTGATGACATAAAAATTAATTCTTTTTCAGTTTTTCTTTGTGCTATCTGAGTAAACATATCTGAAATTAAATTCAACAAATAGAAGATATTATACTGAAGAGAAAAATTTTTAATGCACATTTAATAAATATATATAAGAAAAATTATAAAACAATAAAGAACTTATTTATTTAGTGTAATATGCTATAATATGCTGTACAATT